GCTGTTCCCTGTCTTTCTTCTAGTTCAGCTGTTCCAGGGTTTTTTTTCTGGGTTTTCAGAGGTTGATAGGAGAGAGTGAGAGCAACTACCTTTTTACTGCGCCATGTTGGCTCCCGGAAGTGGTGCTATTCCTTTAGAAGAAGAAAAGTAAATTAATGGACCAACCTAGATAATGATGGTTGAGAAACAAATGAATTCAGCAACCCAGTGTTTGATTAATTTAAGAACATAATGTATTTGGGAGAAGCACTCCCTATTTGAAAAGAACTGTTGGGAAAATTGGAAAGACTTTTGGCAGAAATTAGTTTGAAGCCAAAGTTGTATACCCCATGCTGTAATAAACTTGAAATGTGACCTGCATATTAAAGATCATACTATATAAAATTAAAAAGACAACCAGATGAGATATCTTTCATAGCTGTGGCTAGACGCTAGACTAGAGGATATCTTCTTAATTAAGCCAGGGATGTAGTCAACCAGAAAAGATAATACAGACAATTATAGTTATATAAAATTGAAAAGCGTTGAATACTGATGCTGTCAGTGTGAGAAAGTAATATCTTTGGGAAATTTTTTTTTTTTGCATCAGATATCTGTGATAAGAATCTGATATACAGGGTAATAGGGAATTAACATTTTGTGTGTGTGTGTGTGTATTCTTCCAGTTGGTCTGATGCATTACTAAGTGAAATTCAGATTTTAAAAATCACCATTTCACTCTAGCTCCAGCATATTGGGAAAGATAATACAAGGTAAGAATAGATAATATTTGAGAGGTTATGGAAAGGGCGACACCCTAATGTGCTGTTGATAGAGCAGTAAATTTGTCCAATCACACTGTAAAGTCATCCAGAATTGTGCTGTGGAAGTGACTAAAATGTCCATGTCCTTTGACCCAGATATTCCATGTTAGGCATCTATCCCAAGGAGGTCAGGAATAAAAAGAGTCTCATCATATACCAAAATATAGCAGCACTTTTTTTGTGGTAGCAAAGAATTGGAAACAAAGTAGATAATTATGAGGAATGGCTAAACAAATTGTCATACATGAATATAATGGAATATTCTGCCCTACAAAAGGATAAATATAAAGATGTAAGTAGGTCCAGGAAAACAATATACACTATGACTTTGTTGTTCAGTCATGTCTGACTCTCCAGGATCCCTTATGGGATTTTCTTGACAAAGATAGTGGCTTGCCATTTACTTCTCCAGTGGATTTAACATTTAACAAAGGTTAAATGACTTGCCCAGGGTCACACAGCTAGTGAGTGTCTGGAGTCGGATTTGAACTGTGGTGTTCTTCACTGTGGGTCCAGTGCCTCTATCCACTGAGCAATCTAGCTGCCTCATACACTGTGACTAGAACAATACAAATGTAAAGAACATTAATAGAAGTTAAAACTGAATGCTGTGAGATTGTAATGATCAAGTTTGGCCCCAGAGAAGAGATAAAAAGACACCTCTCCTTGCTTCTTTGCTGAGGTGGGAGACCATGCATACTGAATATTGCATGTATGTCAGACCTTTTCATGTGTTGTTTAGTTTTGTTAATGGTTTTGTTTTTCTTTTACTCTTTTTCTTAAGAGAGGAAAGAACAACCAGAGAGGGAAATACATTGAGAAATATAAGCAATAAGAAAATCAATGACATTCATTCATTCATCCATTTATTTATTTGTTTTTAAAGACTGGTTAAGCTAATTCACAGCTTTACCAGCGGGATGGGAGTGAGCCTCTCTTCCATCAAAATTATTTTTATTTTTTGCTGGATATGAGGTGAAGCCTCTTGGTGGTTGTCATTGTTTTAAAATTTGAGTTTCTTTTATTACTAGTGATTTGGAACAGTCTTCTTGCAGTGGTTTGTAGTTTGCAATTCTTTTGAGAACTGTCCATGAACTGTTTTTTTCATGTCCTTTGATCACTTACTCACTGAATAGTGTAGTTCTCGAAGCGTAGTCTTGGGACCTCTCTGGGCCCTGAAGACTTTTTGGGAAACTCTACAAGGTCAGGACCATTTTCATAATAATACTTAGACATTTACTTTTCTAGTATTATATACATAAAACCTCTAGGGAAAGGGGTTCTCAATAAATTTTGAAAGTAAAAGGGTGCTAGACCAGGCCTCAGTGAACCTGGAGCAGTCCTCAGAGGACTGAATTACTGGCAGCTGTGACAGTTTCCAGACTTCTCAACCCACAAATGCCAGAAACAACTTAGAAGGTCAGTGAGAAAAGTCTGACTGTGATGTGAAGGGAAGTGCAGCCCCAGGGCACAGGCTGCTTCCTGAGCTTCAGGCCCACAGACTGAGGGGGAATCCAGTGGCTAATCAGAGGGGAATTGCAGGGATCTCTTTGCCAGTGCTGAGGCAAGAATCTCTTGCTTTGCCCTGCTTAGATCTGGGCCACAGTTCTGGGTGGCAGTCCTGGGTCGCGGAGGAGTGCTGGTGTGGTGGAGTTTGTAATGGTGTAATAGAGAGGAAATCCTCACAGTTCCAAGGCAGAAAAGAGTACTTGTGGTCACTCATGGACCAGAGCACAGACCAGGAAAGGAGTAAACACCTCTCCCTTTATCACACTACCGTGGAAGAACTGAAAATTTACAGCTCCCTAGAAGTATCTCTGGAAACAGTGGCACAAAACCCCCGAAGCTTGGGACAGTACATTCTCCACACTGGAAGCAGATCCCTACCTTAACAAAAAGTTTAAAATTCAAGTCAGTTGGCTGGGATCATGAACAAACAAAGGTGTGAAAAAAAAAAAAGTAAAGGGGTCCTGAGGCCCAAAAATTTGAGAACCACTACATTTGAGCATGTTCTTGATCGTATATGTATTTGTCTTAATTTTTCTCTCTCACCATTTCCTTGTATTTGTATGTAAGTTCTATATATGCTTATATATGTACATGTTTTTCCCCTCAATAGAATCTGTCAGCACCTTGAAAGTAGGGATTATTTCATTTTTTTTCTTGTATCCTCTGTGGTACGTAAGAGGAATGTAATAAATGTCTCTTGATTGATTGTCGAATAATCTATAGAATATTAGACCTTTGTATAAGAAACTTGATACTTTTTTTCTAATTGACGTTTTCCTTCTTTATCCTAATTGCATTTATTTTACACATGCAGAAGCTTTGAATTTCATGTCTGTTTTATTTTTGAGATCTCTGCTAGCATTTATTTAGTTAATAATTCTCGTGGTCATAGTTGCTAATGATATTGACATCCATTTGCTGTAACCATTTGCAACTTAATGTAATAGTTGCTTAGTTTTTTCTTCCCAACCTGAATTCCAGTTTACCTGGCAGTTCTTGGCACATAAGGAGTTTTTCTCCACGTATTCTGTTATCAGACTTATTGAATACTGGATTATTTAGTTTCTGATTCTTTTTTGGGGGGAGAGGGGGCTAGGCAGTGGGGTTAAGTAACTTGCCCAGGGTCATACAGCTAGTAAGTGTTATGTGTCTGAGGCTAGATTTGAACTCAGGTCCTCCTGATTCCAGGGCCAGTGCTCTATCCACTGAGCCACCTAGCTGCCCCTAGTTTCTGTATCTTGATTATCTAGTCTGTTGCATTTATCTGCTTTCATCTTTTAAAACTACTACCAAATAGCTTTGGTGATTACATTTTCTTATGTTACTTGAGGTGAGAAATGTTTTTTTTTCTTTTTAATTCCTCTGATTTTTGAGATGTAGATACCTTTTCTTTTTTGTTCATGGTAAGAATTCCATTTATTTAAGGTCTATATCTGTGTTTCATTTCTCCTTTTGTTTCTTTTGCTGGAAATGGGAATTTAAGATAAATATATAGCATAACTTATGGGTACTTAAAATTGATATTAAGTTTTAAGGAGCAGAGTTCCTTAGAAAGGTGTATTTTAAAAATAAAATAGCATAAAATTTTAAGGTAAAAACCACATTTTACTGTCTTCCTTGAGCATTTTGATTGTTTTATCATTTTTTCTAGATATTTGTGAATTAGTATTTTTAGCTGTGTATTATTTAGCTTTTTAAGTAGTCAGAGCGAAGTATTTTTCAGCATTTCCAGTTTTAATTCTTAACTGTGTAGAACAGCTGCATGTATATGGAGAACTCTGTGTAATGTTAAAGTATTACTTTTTCAAGCTTTGATTTACTTCAGAAATCACAAAATCCAGTACAGTTGATTTTAGAATATCATTGTACTTCCGGGTGTGCTGGTGCATGCCTATAGTCCCATGCCAAGGATAGTGGATCTTGAGTTTGGAAATTCTGAGCCACAAGAGTGGTAAAGCCAAATAAGTATCCTCAGCAAGACCAACACCAATATAAGGGGTCCCTCAGCATTGGAAGACCACCAGGATGCCTGAGGAGAACAAAACAGCTCAAGTCAGAGGTGGAGGTCACAGCTTCCAATGCTGACTAACAGTAGGTACAGGCACATGAGTGGCCACTGTACTTCTAGCCTCTGTGAGATAGGAAGACTCGGTAACACCCCCCGCCCCAGAAGGGGTGTGTGTGTGTGTATGTATAGTTGTATTACCTAGGTACTGCAAGTTTATACTTCATGACAGATGTATATATATCATTTGAAGCTCACTGAGTTGACATCATGATGATGTTTTATATCAGCATTTCTAAGTTGTAAGTTCTTTGAGAGCAGTAGCCATATTTAATTTTATATTCTTCCAGCACTAAATAAATGCATTAAGAACAATAGTACATGCCAATTAAATGAGTTGCTTTTAGGGCTAATTTACAGAAATTAAAATATGCTGTAACTATGTAAGTTTTCTGTCAGGCAGAAGGTCTAGTGAAAATCTCCCTAGTTGTAGGAGCAGAGCCATAGTTTCTTCTGGGTGGCTACTTCCTCCACAGATGCAGATGGTAATTCCTTCATGCCTTCTTATTCTATATACTGATTGTCAAAGTGCTCTGTTTAATGCCCTTTTTGAGGAAAAAGTCTTGTGTTTTCAATGCACTCAGTGTTTGTTGTGTTATTTTTGTTTTTGTTTAATCAATTAGTTACCAAATGGTGTCACTTACCACACTGGAACATACCAGGACAGGTTATCTAAACTTCAAGATCATCTCCGTCAACTCTCTATCCTTTTCCGGAAACTAAGATTAGTTTATGATAAATGCAATGAAAACTGTGCAGGATTGGATCCTATTCTGATAGAGGTAAGTTTTAGTGGTACAGTATGGGGGCAGTAATCAGAAAGACATTTTTCTTGGACTAAAATGGCAATAGGAGTAATTATTTCTCCCTGTCTATTATTTCAGTACAGTCTTAGTAACTGAACTATGCTGATTTTAATCTTTATCTAAAGAAGACTAACATATATGTTAACGTAGTTGCCAGTAGGATATGTATATTTAAAAAAAATTAATAAGCAATTATTTCTAATTAAGAATGTTGAGATCCATTAGTCAAATAACTTATCTATCACATGACCTGTATGCAATTTAAGATGCTCTAAATTTTGAGTCTGAGCCAAATCTAATTTTAGCTCTTAAGTCTTTAGATTATTAGTGATTTTTTAATCACTACTTTATCCACAGTCTTAACTGTTTGGCAATAGAATTACACATGGTTTTAGAAATGTAAAAATGTCAGACCTTCATGAACATTTTTTTTAATTTTCCAAAGTACTATACAAATATTAGTTATTATCCTCCTCAAGATTTTTATTAATAATATTAATTCAGATTTGAGGTTTGGGTATTTTATCTTTTTTACATTTCAAAGTAGTTGCTGAAATATATAATATAGTTGAGTAATAGAGGTGTATTTCAGTTGCATTGAGTATATGATACTTTGGTAGCTCTTTCATATCAATTTGCACCTTTGTTTCCAAAGGTAGGGAAATAAATTTCTCAATGTCCTGATTTTCTTTTTCAATTCAATAAGCATTTACTTAGTATCTGCTAGGTGTGACCATATTAATCAAGTTGATTTTGTTTAAATGGAGATTTGTAAAAATCATAATGGAAATTTTAAGTTCATATTCAGATGTATTCTGTTGTGAAATTTATCGAAAATATTTAGTGCTTTTCTTGAAAAATCTAATTCTTAAAATTAAATTAAACTCTTAAATTAAAAATCTTACCACTTAATTATACTCAGCTCAACAGAGACTTAACTTCAGGTTGTCTTTAACAGAGCTTGACAAAACAAAACAGGTTGTTTTTGGTGGAAAGAGTGTTGGACTTTAGAGTCAAGATTTGGGTTCTAATTCTATCTCTGTACCACTGTGTGACATTGGGCAAGTCACCTGACCTCCTCTGGGCCTCGTTTTCCTCATTTATAAAATGAAGGAATTGGACTAGATGACCTCTCAAGTTCTCTTCCAGCCCTAGTTTTATGATCCTAGAAGTAACCTATTAAAATGATAATTTTTTTTAAAACTTCATATTTTTAAACTCATGAAAACATAGTTTCTTTGAAGCCATCACTAAACTGAAATTTACAAATGTATTGCTATAAATAAATGTGATATTATTTTACATGCTGCAGAATATCAACATTATTCTAAACTTTGGGTTTTATTTGTATTCTATACATTTTAACTTTTTTCCCCCATCTTTCTAGCAACTCATTCCTTATGTGGAAGAAGATGGTTCAAAGAATGATGACCGTGGTGCTTCTGGCCAACTTCGTTTTGCCAGTGAAGAGAGGAGAGAAATAGCAGAAGTAAATGAAGTGAGTGATTATTTTACATAATTTTATATATTTTACATAATTTAGTATTATTAGTGAAATATTTAAGTGATTTCAAGATGGCTCAAATACCTTATTATAGAGTCATTGAAAGGAATATCTTACTTATCCAAAAATCAGTTACCTAGAAATGTTATCTACCTGTACCATAGCTGAAAACAGGAAGTTAGCAAAAAACAGTCTTTAAGTGACCAAAATAGATATCATGTAATACTTAGAGGAGAGAAGCTCATACAGAACTTCTTTTTCTATTTGCTGTAGATAACTTTGTCACTCCATCAAGGAGCATTTGTTGAAAGCCTATGGTCTTGATTGTCTGGTTTCACAGCAACATAGAAGTAGAAAATAAAAAATACATCTTTTAGAGGTGGAAAACACTTGAGAATGGGAAGGAGACAGAGAAACTGTTAGAACACATTATAATAATTGATATTTATAATAGTGGCCTTTAGTTATCAAGAAAAGATTATGAATTATACTGAAATGTTATTTGAGAAGTCAGGTAAGTGTATTATCCATTTTATTTTATTTTTTTCTTCCTTGGTTATTATATTTGTCCAGTAATTCCTTTTTTAAAATATCAGTTATCAAAAAAAGTATATTTGGAACAAACAACATTAAATATTTTATTTATTTTCTTTTGCAGTGGGAAAATTAAACATTTTTAATTCAGTGGTACTTTTTAAAAAAGCTAACAAAATGGCTAAAAGCTTTTTTTTTTTGGTAATGTACTTCAGTACTTTGTAATGTACTCAGTTATATGGAAGTTTCTTTATATGAATTACAATTATTTTATAGCAACTACCCTGACTACCATATTGCTACATATTCAATAAATATGTTTTGATTTGTTTTGTTGATAAAATTGGGAGGGAATCTTGAAGACTTCTGTCAAAGGGTCCTTAATAAACTGAAGTTCTAAACCAGGGCTTTAGAACTTCCTGGCCTGCAAAACTTCTCAGTGCTACTTAAACCTGATTAAAATGTAATTGGGAAAGGTTTAACAAAAGAAAAATACTGTGCAACATAGATAATGTTAATTTGTGGTTTTCTAAGTCAGTATGCTAGCTTTATGCTAGCTGACCATTTCTATTTGAGCTTGACTCAGTCATTCTAAATCAGCTAACCCAAGATTGCCTGTTTTAGTAATCTCATCTAGATTTCATTTTTGTTTTAAGATTATGGCACTCATCTATTTGCATTGCTATTTTCTAAGTCTTTGTTTCTCTTCACAAAGACTTGTTAAACCAGTTACATATTTTTTTTGTAAGACTTCACATTTATTGCTGTTAAATTTCTTTTGAAAAATTATTTTTGATTTATGAAATAAAATAAGCATTTTCATAATTTGTTTTAATATAATTAAAAGGATGATTGCACATGAAACTGCAAATCCGTTATGTACAACTTGCTATTCTTTTTAAATGTATAATGAAGTTATCATGTAATTTTTTTCTTTTTTTTTTCTTTCTACTCTCCCCCCCCCCCCCCCCGCTCCCTATAGAGATGGCCACCATTAAACACAAATATGTAGTTGCTCAAAATTGTTCTTAAAACAGCATTGCTATTGTTGAGGTCAGACTTGGGAGAGTGGTTTGAGTGTGAAAGAATTCACTTAGACAATGTTCTCTTTTAGCCATTGGGAGCTTTATTACTTAAAAGCTACATGCACCTTTTACTATAGCTACAGGGCTAAGCAAAAGGTACTGATATTTGGGGTACTAAGCTTATATAGACAAAAAGCTATACAGTCTATAGATTTTTTAGGGTCTTATGATGGTTAAAGATTAAAGATGGGAAAGTTTTTAGGGTTTTATGGTGGGTTGAAGATTTAAGGACAGGGAGGGGGGACACAGGTTAAAGATTAGGGGCAGGGGGAGCATAGGATGGAAGAAATGAAAGCAATTCTTTTGGTACAGGTTAAGGAGAAGTTTTATGGTATTTCAAGATAAGGGGAAAAGGACTTTTAGGATGCTCTTAAGTTACAGGATGAGCTATAGAATAAGCACTCCCCCTCAGGAGAGGCCTCACAAAGTACTGGAAAAGCAACTCTTAATATTCTTCTTAACCCCTAGGCTACCATTTGCATCCACATAACTATTACAGTATACAGTGTTCTCTTGGTTCTACTCATTTCACTCTCTATAGACCAGTTACATGTTTTTCTGAACACTGGGCTGCATAATATACTTAAGAGACTACAGGTAGTCAGATTTTAAAGGATGAAGTTTTTCTACCTGATGTTGGTAACCTATTCTAGCATTTAATTAGCCATGCAGTCAGAAAGTTTGGCTTTTTATTTTTATTTAACATCTGTCTTTTGTTGCAGTTGAAACCTTTTTATTCAGTCTTCTGTGAAGATGAAAACAAAATGACTGGTCATTTGCTTTTTTCTCTATTGTAGTTGGAACCAGTTGTTCATCACTCTTAGACCTCTCCCTAGCCGAGCTTAAATTCCTTCTACTTCTTGTTTGTTTAATAATGTTTCCTATATTTCTGGACCCATTCTCTTTTTATTTCCTATATTTCTGGACCCATTCTCTTTTTATTCTTTCTAAAAAGGACTTTAAAAAACCTTGGTACAGTTTAGCTATTGATTGACTACAGTAAAAATATTGTAGGGAAATTTAGGTTTTTCGATTCCTTTATAATAACAGCCATCCCTTCTGCATCTACTTTGATTCAGATCCTTATCATTTCAGGTCTGTACTATTGCAGTAGTCTTTTTAACTGGCTTTTCTCTCTCCTGCTTCAGTCTATATCAGGCACTATGGTCAGATCAGTGTACCTAAATTACACTTTTGTTTATATCATATCCTTCTACAGCTCCCCCCAAAACAAAACCAAATGAATAAAAAAAACTTTTATGTTTTGTGTTTTCTGTAGAATAAAGCACAAATTCTATAGCCTGGCTTCCAAGGCCTTCAACATCTAGCCTTTAATGTATCCCTTTCAGTCTCTCTGGGTGAAGATCTATGTTAACCCAACTGCTGGTCTGCTCTTGTCTTCTCTAAATTCTGTAAATTATCTTCTCTAAATCATGTATATAGACCTGCCTCTGTATCTTTGTTTTACACCACACCTTTTGTTTAGTACTAGATGGCAGAGCGGATAGAGCACTGGCCTGTAGTCAGGAAGACCCAAGTTTAAATCCAGCCTCAGCAACTTGGGTCACTAGGTGACCCTGAGCCATTACTGTTTGCTTCAGTTTTCTCAGCGTAAAATGGGGATAATAACAGTACCTACTTCATTGTGGGGATCAAATGAGGTAATATTTATAAAGCACTTAGCCACAGTGCCTGGTACATAGTGGGTACTGTATAAATGCTTATTTCTTTCCTGATTCCTCCCCTCTGCGGTACCCCATAACCGTCACCATGCTTATTGAACTTTTAGCCATCCTTCAGGGGTTATTTATCTTTTTAAAAAATTGTCAGATATCAGGGCAGCTAGGTGGCAAAGTGGATAGAGCACCTGCCTTGGAGACAGGTGGACCTGAGTTCAAATCTGGCCTCAGACACTTATTAGCACGGTAACCCTGGGCAAGTCACTTATCCCTGATTTGCCCCAAATTATCTTATATCCCCCCAACTTAATGGTGGGTCTTTAGAGGGAGGAGATTGTTTTATACTTGTTTGTATATGTTTAGTTACAATATCATGCCACAAATTTAGGAAGCACTTAATATTTATTGATGATAATACTAATTAATAATATATGAAACATGGTTCTTAACACCTATGATTTTAAATTGTGTAAGTATGTTTTATTTTTTAGGACTTGTCTTTTTGGACATAATGCTTTTAAATGGCTATTAGAGAAGATAATATTCAAGTCTATTCATCTTCATTGGTGTATAAAAATCATTTTAGGAGTCAGAATGGATTTCTTTAGGACTATAGTAGTTTGTATTATGTGATCTGAGATTTTTTTCAACCTTATTCTGCCATATAGGCAGTTCTATAGATTTCTTTAGACATAGAACATTCTGGGTTTAATTCTCAATGGCTTTTTTCTGTTTTTGTTTTCCTCCATGTACTAGGTATATTTTAACTTAATATAAATAAAATATCTTTTCATTTCCAACTTTGTTTGCAGTATACCATATTAATACAACAAATTGTAATTTGCCTCCTAATTTCATGAGAATTCTGTGAGGATTGTGTAGTATTTTGAAAGCATTGTAATAAAAAAATCAGGGAGATAGAATTCATTTTGATTTTGAAATATTTTTACATTACTTTTCTATGCACCTATATTCTTCAGTTCATTTTATAGTTTAGTGTTACAGGCACAACTCACATATTTCCTTGGTAAAAGATAGCTTTCATATAAGACATGTAGATTGAAGTTAAACAAGTTCTGTACCTAAGGGAAAATCAGAATGAGTTCTTCTAAAATAGAATGTTTACTTCGATGGATCCTTAATTGATTGGCTTTTTCACTCCCCACAAAACTATTCTAAACGTTCTTCCCCTCCCCCCAGGCTCCCGTACTTCCCCTTGTCCCACCCTCTAAATTGAGAACCTTTTATTTGACTAAGAAAATTGAGACCATTCATCATGAGGACCATTCATCTTCTTCCTTTGTCTTAGGATCATAGAACTACAGCAAAAATGTACCTTAGAGATCTTTTCTTCTAACACCCTCCTCCTCCTTATTCTCCACTTTGCAGATGAAGAAACTGACTATCTACCAGGTACAGACCTTGTCTGTACAAACATTTGCATTAAATAGAGAGACTTGCTCAGGATCACACAATGTCCAAGGCAAGGTTTGAAGTCAGGTTTTACTGACTCAAAGACTAACTCATTATCTACTACACCATGCAGCTGTTCAGAACCTCTTGGCATCATTACCCACTCTCTCTTCCTTTCCCTTTGTCTCTGATAATGAAGTGGCCCTTTTTGCCAGAGCCAAGCGCTCTACATGTGCCGTTGGCCCCATCTCCTCCCTTCTCATATCTTCTCTAGCAGATTGCT